CCACAAAAGGGTGAGTCAAGTTGAAATGGCAACATCCTTCTCTAAATGTGAAGGCATGAGTGACTAAGTCAGCAAAGAAAGAAGTAAGTAAGTGGCCACGTTAATGAATGAATGAATGAGTGAAAGAATGAATGAGTGAATGAATGAATGAATGAAAGAATGAATGAAAGAAGGAGTGAGTGAGTCAGTGAGTGAGTCAGTGAGTGAGTCAGTGCGTGAGTGAGTGAATGAGGGAGTGAGTGAAGAGAGAGAGAGAGAGTGAGTGAGAGAGTGAGTGAGTGTGAGTGAGTGAGAGTGAGAGTGAGGTTGAGGCAGCACATCCGCGTGTACAGACGAGGCACCTCACGCGCGTGTACAGACGAGTCACCTTGCGCGTGTACAGACGAGGCGCTGACCTGATCTGACCCTGCACTTCCTTTCAGTCAAGGTCTAATTTGCGGTAACACTAAAGTGCTAATGCTCACCAAGACTAGCCTGACGACAAGCTCCCCGGAGCAACCTACTCAAGTGTGATTGCTTGCTTCAACCTACACTTGATGCGCCGGTTTCGGCTTTCTGCGTGCGTGTGTCAACCCCTGTTTCCAAGGGCTCTACCCTATTGATCTTAATCGATTTACTCTTTCCTTTTGCAGAGTTTACACCTTGTACAGCAGCAGCAGGGACACAGCATTTCACTGGGACTGTGTCCAATGAAGCTACCAGTGAAATGGGATATCCAGCTTGGCCAGCTGGACGTACCTGCAAATTTTCCAATTGTTTGAATCACTTCACTTGCACTCTTGTTCAACAATACTGTTGCTCGGACCCTGCACTTTTTTCAGTCAAGGTCTAACTTGCAGTAACACTAAAGTGCTAATGCTCACCGCGAATAGCCTGAAGACAAGCTCCACGGAGCAACCTTCTCAAGTGTGTTTCGCAGCTTCTTCCCACTGTGGTAAGCTGTGTGAACCCTACGGGGCGCCGTTACCGAGAGAACCTTCTCACTCCTCATAGAAGGAGTAATTTCTCTGAATTTTTCTGAAGTTCCACCGACTGAATTTACTTGCTCGAAATCAGCTTGCTGAATCGTTTCACCCTGTACACGTGAATCTTACTGCAGAGTTTACTGGAATTCTTACTGAAGCTTACTGCAGAGTTCAACTGAATCATGTCTCACCCCGGAGATGTTTCCATGTTCCAACTGTTTAACAAAGCGCCGATTCGGCTTGTCGGACAGTGCCTACGGGCAACTAACTGCCGTTCGCTCGTAAGAGCATCCACCCTACCCTGCACCCCCTGCACCTTTGCTTGTTTTTCCTTGCCTTTTCGTTTGTTTTGTTCCTTCCTTCAGGCTTTTTAGGTATGATCCAGGCTTGCTTAGTCAACGCACGCCCTGCCCCCCCCCACACCCCCTGCACCTTTCTCTTCTTTCCTTGCCTTGTCGTTTGTCTTGTTCTTTTCTTCAGGCTGGTTAGGTGGCGACCAGGCTCGTTTAGTCAATGCACGCCCGAACACCCCTTCACCCCCCTGGCGGAAAATAGCAAAGAAAAGACAGAGAAAGAAAAATAGAAAATGACGGAGTCAGCAAGACGAAGCGGTCATGCACAGTTAGCGCTGCAGCATTGCAGCCTTTCTTGTTCAACAAAACAGTTGATCTGACCCTGCACTTCCTTTCAGTCAAGGTCTAATTTTGCGGTAACACTAAAGTGCTAGTGCTCACCAAGACTAGCCTGACGACAAGCTCCCCGGAGCAACCTACTCAAGTGTGATTGCTTGCTTGAACCTACACTAGATGCGCCGGTTTCGGCTTTCTGTGTGCGTCAACCCCTGTTTCCAAGGGGCTCTACCCTATTGATCTTCTTCGATTTACTCTTTCCTTTTGCAGAGTTTACACCTTGTACAGCAGCAGGGGGACACAGCATTTCACTGGGACAGTGTCCAACGAAGCTACCAGTGAAATGGGATATCCAGCTTGGCCAGCTGGACGTACCTGCAAATTTTCCAATTGTTTGAATCACTTCACTTGCACTCTTGTTCCACAATACTGTTGCTCGGACCCTGCACTTTTTTCAGTCAAGGTCTAACTTGCAGTAACACTAAAGTGCTAATGCTCACCAAGAATAGCCTGAAGACAAGCTCCACGGAGCAACCTTCTCAAGTGTGTGGTCAGTTCACAGTAAACCTGCTAGAAATGAAATGTACAAGAAAATGAAAAATTGATCTTCACCTGCCCGTACTTGTGGACGGACGCATGGGTCTGGACGAGTTGGTGATGTCACATCTCCTTGGGCCCTCCACAGAAGGATGTGGGACCATGTACCGTAGGACTTTCCCATACTCTGCAGGGGTTCTGCATCCTCACAACTCCTCCAAACCCACCGTCTTGCTCCATGCAGTCTTTGGGCGAAATCTTCGCAAAAGTCCGGCTGTTCGTTGCACTCGAACCAAGGGGCCGAAAGTCTTCGCACAGCCGCGTCTTGAAGAAGTCCGGCTGTTGACCTGAATGGAACCCGTGCCGAACTTCAGTTCGTGCGGAGCGAGCTCAAAAGCGGCCACCACAAGCCACAAGCCAGCGGAGCTACAGCCGGATGTCGGCACCACTGCTTGGCGGAGTGGTACCGGACCCCCGGCGTCGGGTGCATATCGAAATGTGTTTGTGGATGGACCCGTATCAACCCATGATCCATGTGGTTGTGCATCGAAGCAAAGCACCTCCAGAATCTGAAGAAAGAGTTCTTTGGGAGAATGACACCAGATCAAAAAGAGCAAACGAAAAGGAGTGTGTCATTCCCATGTGCTAGAAGCCAACTCCTGGTGAAGAACATCTGGTAAACAAGTAACAGGTGTCGGACATTTTCCCGGATCCAAGCCATGTACCTCTTCTGAACGATTTCTAACATATATGACTTAACAGCAAGTGATATGTTCGCGGGGTGATGGTTCCATTCCCTCCGTAATTGTTAACATGACTATTTCCCCGGCTCTTCATTCTGTGAAGTCTTTCATTCATAAGTTCACTATCTCAAGAAGGGATCGATTTATCTCGATTTGGTTCACCAAAAAGTGGGACACCCAGGGCCCCAAGACCCCACGGGTCGACCCGTAACGGTGCGGACCGGCCGAAGCCAAGCGGCGTAGGCCATCCCGACTATGAGCAAATGAGCAGTTCAAGCCTCGAGAGCAAGTACCTCGCCGCAGAGAGTGATGCGCAAACCGAAAGCTCCACGCGGGTGGAAATTCTCACCTCACCGCCCTGGGGGTCGTATCCATCGATGTGCGAGTATACGTCATGTAGTCTCTTGATGAATAAACCCACCCAGTTGAATTGGACATCCACCCAGTTGTGGGGGGTCTTATGAATCAAGAGTCTACATGACGTCCGGATGAGAAGTGGACAGGTCCGGCGCTGGTCTCGGGGTCTCGGGATCGACGCGCGCGGTGACCGTGTAGCGTCGGTGTTGGGGTCGAAGGTCGTGGGGGAGGGGGGGCCGATTCGGCCCATCCAAGTTGGAAACGAAAAAAACTCTAAACCCCAGCTTAAAGTCAGGTGTTCCAGCAAGACTATCAGACCATATCAGACCCATCCACACTCACGTAGATCAGACATGATCAGACTATAGACCCCCCACAAAAAAAATGACAGGAAGCCCCAACTACGTGCAATCCAGGTCAGAAGCTGCCAGCAATTGGTGTTTTTCACAATTGACCGTCCCTTCTTCGAGGTTGTCCCGAACTTCAGCGGCTGCTGGGGTGCCCCGCCAGATTGGTAGAAAGTACAAAGCCGAGTAAACTTGTAGTGCAAGCGATTGCCGATGTGCTTCTGTCCCTCGGAATGGAGAGGAGCACATCTGCATAGTTGTGGGGAGCAGGATGTTCAATCCTGAACCTTCCCCATGATTGGAGCTCAAAAAATGTGTTGCACAAGAGTCCAATAGGATCTCTAAGAGTGGGCTCTTGGACCCCAGACCATCAATGCTTCCGCAGCAAGCCAGGTAAACCCCCAGGAATCGCAAGAAGCACTGGGGAGAAGCATTTAAAACAGCGAAGTGTGGCCTGTTAGAACAGCCAAGTGTCACTGGCAACCACTTAGAACGGCGAAGTGTTGGAACTTGGAACTGTGAAAAAAACCAAACTGAGAGGCACAACTGCAGGTCCTGCAGGAATGTTGGATGAGAGATTCATCGACTGAGAATCAGCCCATTCCTTGAGTGAAATTGTTTTCGTTCCAAGTGAGTTGACCATATATTTTACAGTATGTTGCAAAAAATGCAAAAAAACATATTTGTTCATTTCATCAACCCCTCTTCAACAACGTGTAGTCATTGCACCCCCAACCTCTTCCCGTCAGGTGACAAATCTTTCTAATTCTAGACTCATCTATCACCCTTGCTGGTTTGCTTCTGAGAGGGCCTTTCGCCTGCTTTCAGCTCAGCAGTGTTTTCGTTGCACTGTGCACAAAGGAAGAAAGACCACCTCCTGCCTCTCACCCCCAAACAAAAAGGAAAACCAAGCGCCATCATTATGGCCGTCAGTTTTCCTTAAAACCCAGACCGCCTGCCCCATCGGAAGATCCTGCCCCCCGTCGTTTTCCGGTCCCACTCCCCCGTCCCTGTCCGTCACCTGCGACGGCGGAGATTTCAACTCACTCATGTGAAACCATTCGCAGCTACGCAGCCAAACATGAGGGCCCCCAATTGCCTTCACCTGTCTGCCTTCTGGAAAGACGGTGTCTGTGTGTGAATCAAATCAGCCTTCACCCGGGTGTGGGAATCTCTACCTCTAGTTTTAGTTGGCATGCAATGTGTGCAGCTGTGCGTGTATTTGCAATTCTGGCGGGTCTGACCCTCAGCACGCTCCGCGAGAGGCGAGCGTGTGTGGAACCGACCGGCGAAATGGGCCACATCGTTCCGAGTGTCTCCAGACGCTTCAAGGATGAACGGTGGGTGAGATACCACAAACGTGGACCCTCTCCATCAATCAAACATGGCTGCTGAAGGACGAACTTCCCCTACAACGGGGGATTGTCCACTGCCATGTTGGAGGGAGAGGAGCAAAATGCCTGGTTGAAGTTGAAGGATGAACAAATTGGTCAGCAACCTGAACATCACATGACTTGGTCGGTCTCTTCAAGTCGCCCAACCAGACTCTTCAATCGAAACAGACTGTTTAACGGGAGCTGTGAAACACATAGGGATATTCGGGATATCCTATTTGGTGGTATATCCGCAAATCCCATTACCAGTAACATCGGATGATGATGGTTAGATAGAAAAGGCGTTTCCCAAAAATTGATTTAGGAATTACCCTCCCTCAAACAATCATGGAAGCTGAACAGGCCCCCCCTTGTAGAGGAAAATTGGTCTTCCAGAGGTCTACGTTCCGCTTCCGTGATTGTTTCAGGGAGTGTAGGATAATTTAGGGATGTGAGAATCATTGAGAATCTTTTAGAATCTTTTCATTACCAACTGTTACTGGTAGTGGTTCCACCCTAATCCCATGTCCTCCTCAAACACTCTCAGAAATGGCCCCCAAGTAAAAGGTGCCCCACTTGGTTTGGCTTTTTCCCGGGCCCTACGCAGACCTCCGGCAGACCTGACTTTCTCCTCTGGTATCAAAGATCGAGGTGCGTCGTGTATCGAATTCGGGAGACACCTTCCTGGAGGCCCCGAAAGGAGCAACCATCAACTTCTTCGCCCAGTGGTAGGAGTCTGCCGTTTTACACCCAGGCACCTGACATGAGCCCAGGAATCCAGCTATCGATCGTGGAGGAGCAGCTAGCGCATACATACGATATCAACTTGCTATCTACCCATTCTGCTTACTTCAGCATTCCATCTGCCGTTCGCCCCCAGAGATTGCGAACTGGCTGTTTCCAACCCTCCCAAGTTGGGACAGCATCGATTCTTTGTCACCCTTGATGCCCCTTCCCAGTGATCCAACCTAGACGTCATGGTCAATTCCATCCCCAAAACTGGCTGCTCCCGACACCTTCCAAATGCTCCCAAAAAACCGCTCCCAAAAAACCACGCACCGATCGACCCTGGATGGGTTTCCACCGATCCACGTCGATCCGCTCGCGAAACAGCATCCGATCGGCCTGGATTCGACAGGATCTGCACCGCTCTCTGCGATCGAGGCACCTGGAACGGACCCGGCGAGCCGGAGCAGACCTGGAGCATCCTGTCTGGGTGTGGCTGGAGATCGTGGAGGGTGATCAAATGTATAGGAATCCCTCTGCCTCTGCATAGGGGTGGAAGGATGATGAAGGATGTATAGGGTGAGCAGCGGATGCGCACCCAGACAGGCGCAAAGCCAACTCGCTTTTCGTCCAGCGGGGTCCACCAATTCCACCGCGCTCGCCGCAGAACGCACCGGCACCGGAAGAGCCTCTTTTGCCCGAGGCTCCGAAGAGTCAACCGACCGCGCACGGCTCAAACCGCGCATGGCTCAAACCGCGCCACGGCTCAGAAGCGCCTCGTTTCTGCACGCCGGCGAGCGAGATGGGCGCTTTCTCTGGACCGCCCAAACTACAAAGGAGGCCTTCCCGGGGTCCCTTCACCCATTCTGGATGCTCAAAGGATGCTCAACTTTTCAGGAGGACGATCAACTTCAAATTCTTTTGTTGCAGGCTAAGACATACAGTGACTGAAAGATGATACGGATTGATACGGTAATTTACAGTAGTTGTCTATAGTAGGCAAAAAAAACATGGACATGCTGTCCCCTCTAAAAAGTAAGCCCACGCCTGACGGTTACTCCAACCTCACCCTCTTCGCAAAAATATGCAAAAACATCATCCCGTATACTTGCAGCTTTAGGGGTGAAATCGAGCACAGAGCCTTCCGTCACCCACCCTTTCCAACCAAACCTGCCATACACACACGGTCTGCCATGGTCGTCGCTGGTCTGAACGGGATCGATCGGTGGGGTCGGTGGGGTCGGTGGGGGTCGGTCGGCGACCGGGCTGGCGGGGAGCCAAGCGAAGCATCGCCGAAGCGAAGCACTGTGAAGAGTGATTCGAGCTCCGCATGGGTGAGGTGGTTCTGCAAATTGGAAGGGGAGAGAACCTCTGAAGACCAGAATCTGTGAATGAACCTCTGCTCGCCAACACGCGCGAAGCAGCTTAGTCTGGACCCAAACCGGATGTTGCCGGCCGCCTGCAGGCATAGACGGTCACAATACCTGGGGCGCGCCAGTGCTGCGCACCGGTGCTGCGCACCGGTAAGCCAAGCCCGGTCCAGGACCCAAAGTAAACATCTCCGACATACTTCAAGAACAGCACGGGCCTTGGGTGAACCAAAATATGGCTGCATGATGCTGCTCGGGGTTCCTATTGGTCTTGTTCAAGCTCGGCTTGGGTTTCCGTGTTCTGTCTCGGAATCTAAGGTGACGCGGGGGTTTGACCCGTCATGAGCCGGCACGAACCCTGGGTGGGCTTTCGTGGTTCAGCATCTCTTGGGTTTCGTGGAAGGCGCATGGCGTCTGACACCTGATACAGGTTCCAAAAACTGGTTACCACAGGTCAAATGAGTCGTGCCCTTCCACCAGCCCACATATCCCCTTCGTTTGAAGCCGTTATTTCAAGATCATGTGAAGGCATCGTCCTTTCGGGAAGACAATGACCACATGATCTCTTCCAAAAAAAGAGAAAAGGAAACAAAACGAAGGTCGAAACCGCGACCCCACACAGTGCTTGGATTCTCCTGGGGACACCCAGCAGTCGCTCCGGCCATTGCCCAGGCGTGTGCAACACAAACCTCGGGCACTTCTTCCAAACAGTCCCGACTGCCAGAGGGGCTGGATGGCAGGAAGATCACGTTGAGGTGGAATCAAGAATGTAGTAAGAAACTCTTATTCAACGAAAACTCTGGATTCTGGCAAGGAAAACGGGAAACCTGGCAAGAAGTGGGAAGAAACAAAACTTCAGAGCACATGTTCAAAACAAGGAACATGACCACTAGTGACCCATGGCAACACTTCAATCTACCTACTATTGGGTTGCTGTGTTTAGGCTCCGCTAGACCAAAACAGACACGTTTGTGCACAGCATGTGCGCAGCTATGCACCGCAAGACCAGTCTGTGTCGCTCGGTCTACCCAGTCCGCTTCATTGCCGATCAACTGCTGTTTTCCTTAATGTCCCATCAAAGACATAGCATCAGCTGTCTCAATGTTTGTGGGGGAACTGGGGAACCCCAAAACAAAATGCATTTACTTAAAAAGTAGGATCCTGGTCTCAAGGGAATGGCCTGGCTCATGGCTCCGCAGTGGGAGACTCGAGGACGGCTCATGGCTCCGCATGTTTTGCCGATGCGTGGAATAGCAAGATACATCAACACAGCTGGCATAATAAATCACGATTTATAAGCAACGAGTTGGGAATGATATGGAATGGTCGATAGACTCACCCAGGTTTCTCAACAAAGAAGACCCTTCGAGAACTTACCTAGATCAAAGTTCTAGGTAAACCCTAATTACCTGAGCTCCAATGTCTATCTAACCAATGATGGAACCAAAGGGTGACCGTTCTTCGAAGAGGCGAAACGCGGCTAGCACTGTACTTCTACAGGCTTTTCGGTATTTTCGAGAAAGCAAGAGCCGCAGCTTCCCGCATGACATGATCACTCTCACTCCTCGCGCGGCCGGTCATTCTAGACCACCGACGTGCTTCGCCGTAGGAACAAGAGGTCCTACACTGTGTGGGCGAAAATGGGTTAAACCTCGTCCTGTCGAGCCTTTTCTCCTTCCGTGCTTAGACCACTGGAATCACTTGGCCGGGCATTTGATAGAGAAATGATCGTCCGAAATGATGTAGGACGCTCCGCATGGAGGATCCGTTCGTGTCCGTTCGATCTCGGGCCCGCTGGTCCGGTCCTAGCTCGATCCCGTCGGTCCGTCGTTCGTCCAGCTGGGCGGCAATCGAACTGCGTGTCCCAAAAGGCGGTCGCCGCCTGCAGAGATGGGAGATTGCTTAGGCCAGATCCAACAGAGGTGGACAGTGAACTAGGATCCTAGCAGGGTACCGAACTGGGATAGCCTAGTTCGGGTTCTTCAACCTCTGTTGGATAGGCCTCAGAAGGCTTTTCACTGCTCAGGGGACCAGAAGCTCCAGAAAGAAACCGCGACTGGGAAGACTGGGCCAAGGACTCTTTTGAAGAGATCCAGTGGATCCTTAACATTGGCCCCCCCCCACACTCATCCTGCTCAGCGAAAGCCAAAGTCCAAAGGCGGAACCTGGAAGCTTTGCAAAACTGGCAACTGGTACCTGTTTCACGCGAGAAGAAGATCATTCCTCATTTCAGACTTGAGATTTCCAGGAAGCTTCGTGCCCTGCCACTGATCGCAGGAATCCAACGATCATGTGCCACTGATCCTGCACCTGATCCACTTGCACCCAATGTCTCTCTGCCATTGGAGAAACGAAACGAACGTGTGAAATCTGCGAATCGAGCGAGTTCAGTCGGGAACTGTTGAAATAAGGCCCCGCATGTGGCGGACCGCATGAGGTCATGTTTTGCTATGAGGTCAGGTTGAAAATGAACACTCCAAAAAGACTCACATGCTAGGGTCAGAAGTAGCTCACAGTGGTCAAGTTTGCACCCACCAAGAGGTATTTTCATGAGCCTCCCCGTACTCACAACCAGTAATTAAATATAGAAGAACTATCAACGCGTCACCCAAGTTGTTATATATAATATTAGTAATATACTTGTTTTTTGTATAACTGTGTACTAGATCTAATCCTTTCTGCCCGTGCACCCATGGCTTTCCATCCATCAGAACCACTTGCCTTCTTTTTGCCAAGTCGATGCGTCCAGGGCCCATGTGGCCAGGTGGCCATGCGTTTCTTCTGTTGTGGGGCACCTCAAAACTGCTCCATGTCTGAGGGGTGCGACATGGGCATTGCCTTCGGGATGAGAGCTGCCTCTACCACCCCTGGCCACACCCTGATGCCATCCGCGCGATCAACGCGTGGAAATCGAAGTGGCATGAGGATGGCATGAGCGAAGCTTAGCATTGTTCAAGTTTGCAACTCTTTCTAACACACCTTTGTCTCACTAACATAGAAAGTGGATGGAATGGCCCCCTGCGAAGACCATGAAATCCATTTCCATCTTAGTGAGTCCGAAAATCCCAGGTTGGGTCACAAAGTTGTTCGAATCGACGTGTTTTGTGGTTTCATTGCTTTTAAGGGGGCCAGAATGGTACGAGCCAGGCACACTGGACTTGGTCTAGACATGATAC